ATGGTATTGGGGTATCTGATTTTGTATGATATTGACATGCAAAGAGTGAAATTGCATCCCTTCCTTACAAGATACACAAAAATTAACAACAAATGCATCACAGAATTAAAACTATAAAATTCATAGAACATATCTAGGAGTCAATCTTTGTGACTTTGAGTCAGGCAAAGACAAGTATTGGCAACAATGTAGAAAAACTGGAACCTCTCACATTGCTGGTAGGAATATAAAATGGTACAGCCACTTTGGAAAATACTTTAGCAGGTTCTCAAAATGCTTAACTTAGTATTACCATATAACCCATCAATTTCACTCCTAGATATGTAACAAAGAGATTTCTTTTTCAAAACATGCATCTGTACAAAAACTTATACATGAATGTTCATAAAACATCATTATTCATAACAGTCAAAAAGTAGAAACAACCTAAACATCTGTCAACTGGCAATTAGATAAACAAAATGTTGTACATTCATACAACAGAATATTAATCAACCATAAAAAGGAAGAAAGCACTGACCTATATTACAAGAGAGATGAACCTTGGTAACATTATGCTAAATGAAAGAAGCTAATCACGAAAAACCACAGATTATAGTTCTATTTATATGTAATGTCCAGATTAGGCAAATCTAGAGACTGAAATTAGCCTAAGGCTAAAGGACTCTATTTTCAAGTCTGTATATATGTTCTCCAATTTCATCTTTTGAAAGCATAAAATGAGTTTTATTTCAGAAGTCAACCTATTCAACTTCAGATGTATTTGTAGAGTAGTGAAGAATTTTTATGCTAATAATGGAATCATCAATTCACCTTTGTGGAATTTGTGACTGTGGTCCATTTAAAATTCAAATTTTATAAATGCAACCATTACAACTCAGGCAGTCCACTAGGAAAGACAAGCAGCTATAACACTGACTTCAACCAAATGATACCAAAAAAACCAAAATGATGTTAATATTTTTCCATGTAAGATTCTTAATGGTGTCTGTGGATCAAACCAAGAGAGTGAAAGCCTGATATTCTCCCAAGATACTGACTTTTTAATTGTGTTATCCTGTGGATTGTGATTGTGTCCTAAAGTAGAAACAGAATGATTTAGAAGCACATATCTAGAAAATGAACGTTGTATTTCCTATTGTGATGAGAAACATTTTGAAAGCAATAAGGATATTCTCGATCCCAATATAGTAGAAAAACAAAGACGGAAGTCAAAAGGAAACTCAATGGGAGAGAATGTGTTGATGCATTAGGACATAGGTCCTTCTCATCTCCCCACACAAATCCTGCTGGGTGGAAGATGGGAGGACAGAGCTGGGCAGATCGATTCCTTTCTCTCCTTGGGGACCTCTGAGCTATGGTTACTGCATACTTCTGACCTGCTGCTGCTCTTCCTCACAGCTCAGCATGAAACAAAAACCAACATGACAACCCATCTGAAGAGGACAAGATGAAAACCCACAAAAGCTCACACTCTCCCCTTCTCAACAACCTTCTTGGTAGCAAGAAACTAATGGCACAAATCTTGTAAATGTTGAGCTTTTAAAAAATTGGATTCAACAATCATTTGGAAATGATTAATTTTTTTAAACTTTTTTTATGGAGGTACCCTATGGATTACCATTTGCTATTGAAAGAATCAAAGGATGCCCATCATATATGGTTGAATGAAAATTAATATAGCAAATCAAGAATCAAATGCTCTCTTACACAAAGAAAGGAAAGCAGAAGGGAATCATTTTACATTTCTAGTACTCAGAAGGGAACTATAACTTTTCAAGAATATGAATTGTACCACAAATATAATATAGAATTCATACTGGGCAGTAAGTAGGGCATTAACCAGAGTGCCATGTATGCTAGGCAGAACTTGGTTCAATCAGTCCACAAATAAACAAATATTGGCTAATTCACACATGCAAAGCACTGTGCTGAGCATTTTTCTCCTTGGAAAACACAGATCTACATCTTTATATTGTCAAATCATAAATCCAAAGAGACTTTGTTTGCTTAAAATTATGAAAACTAAGGAGAACGGTAGTACCTTTCTACAAAGATAAGAAAGGATAATAAAACGCACTGGACTCCGACAATTAATGAGACAGAACAAATAGCAATAGGCACAAGCAACAGCAGGGAATTTATTTTTAGCTCAAACATTAGGCAACGTCATTACAAGCACGATTAAGTCCAGCAATAAGCTGCCAAAACGATTGAAAAATTGCCATCACAGGGGAGATGCAAGAATGCACCACAGGACACCAGACAAGGACAGTTTGAGGATAACTAAATCAGGCCTTTGAGGGTTGGAGAGATCGGATGTCCACAAAAGCCATGTAGATAAAGCTCACACTCTCTCCACAAATCTAGCTTCTAAAAATCATTCACCTGAAATTATGATACAAAACTCAATTACTCTTCCCTAAAGCAATGCAAGGGAGTCATGCTTTGCACACATAATACTAATAGTTATAATAATATATAACACTAACCATACACATAATACTAATACATATAATATAGCAATATAGTCAAAGATGTCTATAACTTCTAACAGTCAAATTTTAGGAAAAACAATTACAATAATTAGAAATACCACCATAAAAAAATCTTCCTATTGCTATTTTGCTTTGAGATGACAATTGGGCCAAAGTACAAATCATATTAGTCAATTTAGAGTACCAAATTTCATCAGAAGCAGTCAACTTCTTGAATATTATGTGAGAATAGGTAGGTAAATACAAAATACTCTGCTGAGTCACACAGAAATCTCTCCATTAGAGCACTGTGTTATTAAATGAAAACAGCAGGTTATAAAGGATCATGATCACATTAACATGTGATTATCAACACACAGAGGGAGATACCTGAAAAATGGTCATCTAATGTCAATAGTGGAAATATCTGGGTAGTGAAATTTTGGATGTTTACTTTCAATTGCATGGCTTTGTGTGGTTTTTCCATTAGTACAAAACTATAAAGCTCAAGACCGAGACTACTGAATTCAAATTTCAGCTTTACACCTTATTGATTGTGTGATCTGGAGCAAGTTACTTAACCTCTCTATGCATCTGTGACCTCACCCAACCTCAGAGTGCTATGAGAGGACTAAGGGCATTAGTACAGAGAAGGCACCCAGAGCAGTGCATAGAACACAGCAAGCCCTCAAGCCACATCAGCCAGCGGTAGAAGCAGCAGTACTGCCAATACTAAGCCAGCTATTTGTAAAAATTGACTTATTATGCTCATTAACGGTGGTTGCAAAAGCAACTATTTCATGGCCAAAAGTAAAAAAGGGGACCATAATTGTTTAAGTTTAAATAACAACCAAAAAAAAAAGGAGGTCCCTAGGTAGGCATTTTTTCTTGAATCTGTCTCCCTCATTTCAAGAATCAGCATGCACAGCTGACTCAAAGAGTTGAAAAGGTGCTTCAGGTATTAGTTTCATGTATGTAAGTCTGTCCTCTTAATTTAGCAGCAAAATAGATGACATTCTAATGAGGTTAGCATTTGTAGGTCAGATTTGTCCTAATTTACAAAAAAAAGAAAGAAAAAGAAACTTTTGAAATGCTTTAAATCTATGAATGCTGGAAAGTTAGTTTTAAATGAGGACTTATATAAAATGAAAATTATATAAATATACCTTTGATTTGTTAGGAGCTGATAATGAAAGTAACAGGCTATCCTGAACCCTGGATTCTCTGCCTTTGAGAGGGGGGAGATAATAAACAGAATAAATAAGTGAATTAAATAGTATATTAGAAGGTGGTAAGAACTAGAAAGGGAGGAAAAGAAGGAAGTGTTAACATTTTAAATGGGGTAGGGAGAAAAGGTGACCTGTATGCTTAGATCTGACAAGAGAAAGTTCAACCAACATTACTCCATAATTATTTGCTCTGATGGCAGTTTTAATCAGGCTGACAGCTCTCAGTTAAGACAAGGCATTGGTTATCCCTGTGCTTCCTTTATTCTGACCACCCCTTTCACCTTTAATAATATACACTCTAATTATTACACAAGTTCTGTGTTATAAACAGGCTGTTGGTATTCATCACTTCACTTTTTAAAATCCAAACACATCAGCTTCCTAAATATATAATCTCCATAAATATTTTCAGCAAATAAAATAATTAAGAATAAGAGAGAAGTCATCTACTGTTTCTGGTAGCCCAAAATCCATTCCCCTATTTTTTAGTAAGAGAACTCACACTTTCTTTGGGGAACTAAGCCTACCTGACTTTCAGCCATTGTGATTCAGGTGGAGCTGACAGCTCTAGGATAAGTGTATTACCTTGTGTGACCACTAGAAGCGTCAAATTCCCCAAACTCTACAGCAACAAGTTCAAGATGAGCTCATGACCCAAACAACCAAAGAGAACCCTCAGGCACCAAGATGTAGGGTGCAACTTGTGGGAAAAAGTGCTTTTCTTCATTAGGTTGCTAAGGTGGCAAGATTCAGACCTAGAGTTGCTTATGAGGCCATTACTGCCACCCCTGGCGAAGGGAAGGAGAGGGACTGCCTAATGAAGACAAATAGAGGTAAGCAAGCGAAGGAAAGGAATAGAGTTGAATGCCTTTGACAATACATTTGGAGGACCTGAACTCAGCCCTGCCTTACACAGGCACCCCTTACATTGTTCTCATTGCTAAAGAGTACATTTCTCGCCTTGGTTGGCGTGGTTCAGTAGGCTGGGCATTGTCCCACAAAGAGGAAAGTCTTGGTTGGATTCCTGGACAGTGTACGTGCCTAGTTGGGGTGCGTGAGATGTGTGTTTCTCTCACATATCAATGCTTTTCTCCCTGTCTTTCTCCCTCCCTTCCCCTCTCTCTAAAAATAAATAAATAAGAATTTTAAAAGAGTACATTTCATTTTTTTTGCTTAAATCATTTCAGGGTGGGTTTCGGTCACTTGCACCACTAGAGTCTTGACAAATACAAAGAAACCTACAGAAAGTGATCTCAGTATTTTCCTTAGAAAGCCAATGACAACACATCCTTACCCGTTCCTGACCAGCAGTGTCCCAGATAAGGAACTTATGAAGTTCATTTCCACAAGGCACAGTTTTGGTCATAAAAGATGCCCTGAAAAACAGAATCAACATCTACACATTACAAATTATCCCCTACAATCTTTTCAAAGACTTCTGTTTCAAACAAGTTAACGTTATGCCTCAGCAGTATGCCAAAAGTTCCCAGCATTGTCCTTGTCTTTGAGGTGCAACTAAGAGGAAGAAAGAAGAGCTGTTAGAATTCTGTCACCCAAAAGAAAATATTCTGCATTTTCTGTTAGTCCAACTGAAGGTTTAGGACGGGAAAAAGGCAAAGAATATATTCAAAACACTGTTTCAAAAAACATTTGTCTTCAGTTGTTCTGAGATGGTATACTTAAGATCAGGAAATAAAACCATAGATTTAAAAACTTATTATTATAACAATTAAAAATGGAAAGGACAGCTGGTATTTGGGCATTTTCCAATTGGGCCTTGAAATGGCACAAATAGAAAATTGCCTTACATTTTTACCTATGCTATGAATCCAATACTTGCAGCAAAGAAAAGGATACTATCTAATTCCCATCCTAATTGCATAAATGCAGGGATATAGATTGATAGCTTAACAAAATTATGCTTTCTCAGCAAAAAAAAAAATTTGTAATTCTCAGATAATGAAGCACTTGACATTTTCTTTTTTGCATATTTCCTCTCAAGCTTTTGCTTTGTGCTCATGAAGATGTAAAAATCTAATACAAGAAATGTTTAATACCCTTGACTTTGTGTGTGTAAGATAAAGCTCCCCATTTATTAAATAACAGCAAGCATCCCCAGTAGTGGGACCATCAGAAATGAGAAATCTCCCAAGGCGATGGAATAAGAAGAACATACATCTCCTATGCTGCATTCTGGCCAAAACTGTTTAATCTGAATTTAACATGAGGAAACAATCAGGCAAATTTAGAATGTAAAACATTCTATAAGGCAATTGGCCTGAATGCTTCAAATAAGTCAATGCCATGAAAAGCAAACAAAACAAAAGGCAGGGAAATTGTTGTAGAACCTAGATTAAGCAACAAAACCAAATGTATTCATTATATGGACCTTGACTGGATTCTGAAAGAGAAGGAAATTAGCTTTAAAAGACATTTTGAGAGCAACTGGAGAAATTTAAATTTAGACTATATGTCCGATATTATCTTTGAATCAAAATTAATTTCCTAGGTAGAAGTACTGTTCTGAGTCTTAGGTAAGTAAGATTATGTTCTGATTCTTAAGAGATGCATACTCGAATTTTTCGGGTAAAGTGTCAGGATGTCTTCCTTCTATTGCATATGGCCCAGCCGGCCCAGCCAGGCCAGCACAGAGTCCAGCACTGCACCCACTCAGCACTCATCCCAGTAATATTTCCTCGACTACTACTTTATACTAAGACCAACTACCTAAGTCCCAAGGAGAAAAGGCTATGTCCCTGCAATTCTTGTACTATCCCCTCAACATCCATACACACACCAAAGTTAATAGGGAGTTCTAATGACCAATGTATGATTGCATTAAATGGATAGTCTAAGTATTTTTCTTAATGTGACATGACCAAATATTATCAAAACCACATCTGTCTCATAACATTTTATTTCTTTAAAAGTGCTCAAAATATACATCCCAGACTACTGATAAAAGCAAATATATTTCAAAATTGGAAATATCTCACTACTTCTCCCATTATAAAAGCAATATATTTATAATACTTCACAAAAAATAAAAAATGAAAAGAAGGAAATAAAGATAAATTGTCCACTTAACCACCTAGCCACAACCGTTACTTATAAGTTGGTACACATCTTTCCAAATTATTTTTTACAACTTTTACCCCCCAAATTGATCAAAAACTACAAAAATTTTGTTTTTCACCTACTTTATATATCATGGACATCTTTCCATTTCTATAAATACAGATGAACATCATTATCTAAAATGACTGAGTGTTATACACCATATCATATATTTATTTACTACCCCATTGGTAGAATTTCAGTCACCTGTTTTCATTATTATGACAATAATTAAATGAATATCATTGTACCTAAATCTGTGGGTCTTCGTGCAACTATTTCTTTGGAGTTAATTCTTAGAAGCAGACATGCTCTGCTTTGCTACAGTCACCAAACTGTGTGTTGTACCAACCTACAAGTCCATGGCAGTGTATAAGACCACCTTCTCCCCAACCAGTACAAATTCTTCAAATCTTTTCCAGTATGACAAGTAGATAATGTATCTCAGTCCTATTCTTATTATGCTTATTAGAAGTCTGAACATCATTTTAGAGTTTATTATTCACTTGTATTTTTCTTTCGTAAATCGTCATGATATTTGCCCACTTTTCAGCTGGGGTGTTCATTCTTTTCTTATGCACTTTTTTAGTATTTTTATACTAACTGTTGTAATAGTATACTTTAAAAAATATTTTTGGAGATTCAAGATGGTGGCAGAGTAGGTGAGATTACAGTCACCTCCTCCCAGTACCAAACTGGAATTATAACTAAAATATACAGCAATTAACCTAAATAACCAACTGAAGACTAGCTGAAGAGAAGTCTTATAACTACAGATTTACAGAAGAAGTCACAACAAGACTGGTAGGAATGTCAGGGATGCGAAAACTGCTGGCCCTGCCCCCATAGGCGGTGGCTGAGATTCTGGAGGGACATGTCAGCTGCAAAGGTTCCTCTTGAGAAGCGTGAGGTCTCAACCTCAGGCTGGACTCCCTAGGCCAGAGCACCAGAGTCAGGAAGAGGTGTCTATGTAACACCTAGCTATGAAAATCAGTGGGGATTCTCTCCACCAGGGAGGAACACGGTCTGCGAGATATGCAGGCACCCTCTTACAGGGCCAACACACAAAATTTCATTTATAGCCACTTACCCTGGGTTCCAGCAGAGGGAAGACAGGGCAGACTAGAGTTGTGCAAGGAGAGACTGGAGTTTGTGGCTTTGGGAAGACAGTTGAGGGGACAGCTGCTAGGACTCCTATGCTGACTCATTCTCTCATGCTGCAGATGCCATTTTTCTTGCATGAAGCACTATTTTCCATGTGGCATCAGCCTGGGGGAAAGGAAGAGCCCCACCCTCTGGACTTCCTGTCACCCCCACCCTGTGGAGCTCATGTCTAGCTGAGGATTCAGCTGCCTGAACTGGGGTGTAAAGGTCTGGACAGATTCAGGGGGTGTCAGTGACTAAGTTGTATAGCTTTGGGGTGAGGGCCATTATCCCCACTTTCCCAAGAACCTGACTGGCATCTTCTGTTCACAGGCAATCCACTAGCACGACTCTCTGTATTCCCAGAAGCCCCCCTCTACTCTTGGTGGCTCTGCCCTGCCGAGGTCTGGACAGAATATACAGGGCAGACTGAGTTATGTGGCTCTGAAATGGTGCCACACTCCCCACCTTCCTCCAACCCTGACCGGCACTTCCTCCTCTCTCAATTCCCAGCAGCCCCACCCTGGTGATATTAGGCTCCTGGCAGACTTTGGGACAGACTAAGTTGTGTGGCTCCAGGACAAGAGAAATTTTTCCCTGACGTGCCTGACAAGTGTGGAGCCTTCCCTTCACACAGCCAAATCTTGGTTTGTTAGGGCCTGGAAAACTCTGCTGGCCTCATCCTGATGACACTCTGAGTCCCCACCCCACCCCACCACAGAGGTATGCAAGCACTCAGCGGGTGGCAGCTAGACTCATTATTCCCTGGGATTATTTCCTCAGTGATCTCAGATCCAACACTGAAGACCCACTCTCCCCTACCTGGTGACTCACTGAAAATCTACCTCATACAACTCATGTACAGCTAGAGGCTCTAATCAGTGACAAAGCCTAACAGGTATTCAGATAGTGGATCCCGGCAGAGGTGGATATCAGGGTTCCATGACAATTTTGCTAAACTGCTCCTAGGCCAGGTGCTGGTAAAAGCCAGCTTTTGGGGGCACAGCTTGATCTTTCTGGTGTACACTCAGGCCCAGCAGAGGCAGCCACAAACTATAAATCACTTTGTAGCTCCAAACAAATTGCCCAGGGCCAGTCATGGGCAGTGTCTGACAGTGGTCTGTACAAGAGTCCCTCCCAAGAGGCCCTAGAATCAACACACCCAGGGACCAGCTTCAGAAAACATCAGAGCAGGATCCAATTAGCTTCACATGTGACAGACCCAAAGGAAGGTCTCAGCAGAAACCACATACCCTGCTAAGGCAAATCCTGCTCTCTGCACAGCAGCTCATACACAGTGGTCAGGGTTGATTCTCATAGTCTGCCAGCCTGAGGATCAATCAAACATCAACAGACAAATAGCAATAAAGACTCAGTTACAACAGGAGGGCCCACATAACTTCTACAAGGTCATTCCAGGAGCACTGAGCCCAGGTGATCAAGGACAATGCACCAGAGGGTCCCATAGGACACCAACTATATTAGGCTACCCTTCCAAGACTGGGAGTCATAGCAGGTCTACCTAATACATAGAAACAAACACAAAGAGGAAGCCAAAATGGGGAAACAAAAAAAAGGCCTCAAATGAAACAAATCTCCAGTAAAAGAGCTAAATGATATGGAGGCAAACAATTTACTGGATATAGAATTTTTAAAACACGGTTATAGTCCTGACCAATGTGGCTCAGTTGGTGGAGTGTTGTACCATAAAGCAAAAGGTTACCAGTTGCAGGTTCAGTCCCAGGTCAGGACGTGTTCATCAGTGTATCTCTCTCACACATAGATGTTTCTCTCCCTCTCATTCTTCTTTCCTTGCCCTCTCTCTAAAAATAAATGAGTAAAATCTTTTTTAAAAATAGTTATAAAAATGCTCAAGGATCTTAGTGAGAACTACAAGGAACTTAGAGAAAACTGTAAGAAATTTAGTAAGAAGTACAATAACATGAAAAAGGACATTAAAACCATAAAAGATCCAGTCAGAAATGAAGAATACAATTTCTGAAATAAAGAATACACTAGAAGGAATAAACAGTACACTGGATGAACTAGAGAATGGAATCAGCAATTTGGAAGACAAGGGAGCAGAACACATCCAATCAGACCAGGGAAAGGAAAA